GTGATGCAATTATCAAAGTGTGTGGGTTTCTAAAGGTGACATCTTAATACAAAATTTACATCGCACTCAGCAACATATTCACTAAGAAAACGCCTCTGTTCTCTGGCTATTTGGATATTTTCCTACGCCGATAAGCTAAGTGGACACGCATGTAAATAGCTAACATTTTACGTTGTTTTTTGTGATGACTTGCAAGGGACAATCTAACATATGTCTTGATTGTAATTTGAACTAATTAAAAGGCTTCCTAAAAATGTGTTAAATTTCTTTTAAAGAAACATAAGACTGTCGATTCTCAACTGAGCAATTCTATTGTCACATCTTCAGATTCAAAGTTGCGCGGTTTTTGAACTTTATCAAGCAATCGGTAACATCCTTGGCCTTTTTTTTGTCAAATGGAAATAGTTCCGTCGAATGTAATTCATCGCCATTGAGAACCAAATTCTGAATAACTTTCGTTCACATAAAAACAATATGGAAGGGAAAGGAGATAAAGTCACAATCGGAATGATTTAGGCCTATGCTTTCATCACCAAACACATCAAATAGTATTCCTTCAAACTCTTCTAAGGTTATTTCACGATATGACGGAATTGACCGAGTGATGTTTCGATCATTTGTGAAGCTCTTCAATCTGGGAGGTAAGTGAATATTGGGTATACTTCGCAATCACTCTGCGGCATAGCCGCTAAAAAAGCGACTTTGCTATCAGGCGATTTACTACTCAATATTGGATAGTATTCCTACGCCGACCAACTCTGTCACTTCTGTAAATTAAGGGCAATAAATTATTCCAAACGCGTTGCCCCATTACGCTATTAATTTTTATGACTTACGTATGTCAGCCTAATAATTAGTTGGAAGCAATTTTTAAATTATGCAAACTTTTTTTATTAAAGTGTTAATATATGTTTTGCAAAGCGTAAAATTGGCGATGCTTCTTGAATCACATCCGGTGTCCAATCTTCACTATCGGAGGTACGTAGTTTTTTTTTTATTTTATTTTGTAAAGCTCTTTAATTTTGTAAGAAAGGAAATCTTGCTAGTAGTTCGTAATCCATACTGTCTAAACAGAAGTGATCGGTTTAAAAAAACAAAAACATCGGAACTTGTGAAGTTTGGTTTGCAATCCCATAATGCCTAAATCGAAGTGGTCTGCATTAAAAAAAAAAATCCCCCAACAAAACAACGGAAATTTTGAAGTTCGATTTTAACCTTGTGGTAGTGATATTATCCTTCCAAAAGGATATACCCCACTGTGAGAAGTATTCCTTTGGATCATCCTCGCCCCTTTTCTACAGGTCGAGAAAGAAACCTCCAATGCAATTCACCGTCACTGAAATCTACAAATGAAACTAGTTTTGGTTCACATGACACAATCACTGCACCTTCGTCGCTAAGCAAGCGCATTTACTATCTAGCGATTTACTGTGCAGTTTGGGATATTGTCCTTACTTAAATAGGCCCAGAGGACACGTGTGTATATTAAGAGTACACAATAGTTTAAATCGCTTTACCCCTTTTTTTTTGTTATTATTAGTGACTTGCTAAGATCAATCTATGTCTTGATTGAAATTTAGTCTAAGTAAAATTCTTTCGGAAAAAAAATTCTATCACAACATGTGCGATGCACTAAACCCTAGACGAATCACCACATCCATCACATTTTATATTCCTGCAACTACATCCGCTTCTTGATTTGTCAGAAATGGTTGAGCAATGTTCAGGTTGAGGTTATGTACTCAACTCGACAGAAAAGGTCTAATGATGATACCTTATCCAACAAGTGATCTTATTGTATTCTGTTTCGAATGCACTAAGAATTGAATGTTCATCGAACCTGAAGTCCAGAAAACACTGTTACAGCAAGCACTGCACTTTAGTAAAATGCGACGATCACTCTCGACTTTATAAAACCAATAGTTTCCACCCACTTATTGCCCCATCACCCGATGTATGAGACGCAGTAGCGAAAAATAGCTGATTCAATGAGATTGTTGAAGTTATAGAGTTTTAATGTCATATCGAGAAAGTTCCAATTTCACGTGTTGAATCATATTGCGTGTCCTTAAAGTTTCATAGCTTAGGTCAAGATTATAGATTGTATATGTTTAATTGTGCAGCGGCGATTGAAATATAGATATCCTATGTCTAGAATTCCAAGTTCACATGTCGAATCTAACTGCTTGTGTTAAAAGTTCTATTTGATATGTCGAGTACTTAGATTTCAACTGTTGAATTACACAGCGTTGGTTGAATCGTGGATGTTAAATTCTGATTTCTTTCAAGTTTTTATCGAAGCTGGTCCAATGGGAACGTTGCAGTTGAAATTTGAATGTCGTATGTCGAGAAATCAAACTTCACCCGTTGAATCCAAAATGTTTTTCCATAAAATTCCTTTGTTTAGATCGAGATTTTAAATTTTATCCGTTGAATTGTCTAGCGATGGTTGAAAGTTTTATTTCACACGTCGAGTATTTAGATTTCATCTGATGAAATTACACAGCGTCGATTGAAACTTCGGCATCCAATGTCGAGTTTTTAGATTTTAGCTGTTGAATTGTACAGCGGTCATTTAAATTTAAACGACGCACATCATGAATCACATTCATTGTGCTGAAATTTCAATTTAGTATGTCGAGTTGTTAGATTGTATCTGATGAATTACACAACGGTGGTTGGACGTTTTAATTTGCTTTGTCAGATTTGCTATCTTTATCTAGTAAAATACTTGTTGATTACTTTACATGATGAGAATTTTTACTGTAATAATTCAAAATTACATCGTGTATTAGGATGCATCATTTGTGTATTCAGTTTTGAGGACCCATTACATTTTATGCATTTACAGTTTGAAACTTATCATTCATGGTTCGAGAATTACTAGGAACTTCATCGATAAAGGTCGCTCTCGCTAAAAGAACAAATCTAATCTGTTGATGCTTGACTCAGCTGCCATTTGGCTCTCATCTAACAAAGATAGCAACTGATCCAATCAAATCGTGTTGGCTGCTAGAATCGTAGATGTCACCGAACTTAGAGTTCAAGCCTTGTTTATCAGCATTATTGCAAGAATTGTAACGTCATTAGAAATATATGGAATTAAGTCATACCGCACATTACTAATGTTTGTCAAAATTAGAGTAAGATTAATACTTTCAGCAGAGATGTACTCGCATTTACCAGCATCATGACACAAAAAAGAGCGACAACGACAAGCAGCCTCCTTGTTTAAAAATAATACGCGCCGTTTTACAGAGCGACATCTTGCAAGGAATATTAATTCTCAACTTGTGAGTGGTAACATTCAAACTGTAAATGAATAAAAGGTAATGTTGCCTCACAACTGAATACACGAACGATACATCTTCATACTCAATATTATTTTGAATTATTAAAGGTAATCGTAATATATGTTAACACAGACATAACATTTCACCATATAAAAATAGCAATTCTGACAAGCACAATGAAAGGCCCAACCACCACTGTATAATTAAACATACACAATCTAAAAACTCAACATACGAAATGGAACATTTCACCATATGAAAATAGCAATTCTGACAAGCATAATGAAAGGTCCAACCACCACTGTGTAATTCAACATACACAATTCTAAAAACTCAACATACGAAATGGAACTTTCAGCACAATGAATGAGAATCAACATGTTAAAAAGAAATTCTCGACATATGACTCTAGCATTTCAACAACCGCTGTGTAATTCAATAGACACAATCTGAAAGAAAGACTTGGACATCGAAATTTCAACCAACGCTGTGTAATTCAACAGATACAATCTGAAAGAAAGACTTGGACATCGAAATTTCAACCAACGCTGTATAATTCAACAGATACAATCTAAAAGATTGATATTGGATATCTAAATTCCAACCAACGCTGTGTAATTCAAGAAATGAAATCTAAATACTCGACATATCAAATGGAACTTTCAGTACAACAGTTTAATTCAACACGTGAATTAAGAATTCTCTACATATGACATTGAAATTTCAACGGCTGCTGTGTAATTCAAACAACAAAATCTAAACCTTCGACGTGGAAAATGAAATAGAACTTTAGGACAAGTAATTTGGTTCAACACGTGAAATTGGAATTTTTGACATATGACATTAAAATTTAATCTGCAATGTTCTCATTAGACCAACTTTTATCCGCTATGGCGCTTCATACCATTATCAAATCTTTACTTTCACGAGTGTGTCTGTTATTTTGGGAAAATGGGGCACAGCTTCATCAGTAACAGCCTTAGCAAATGCGGAGCTCGATTTACACGCGGATGGGGGGAGGCCTGTATGAAATGCATTTGGAAATAAACTTTTAAACAAGTTTTAAATGATATTGTACATTAAACTTTCTTCCATCGCTTTAAAATCTTTTTCTCTCCATATATATGTTTTTAAAAATTACTAACGCGCGAGGCCCCAGTAAGCGTGGGGTCCGATTGGGCCTAATGGGTCCAATCGGCCTAAAGCCGGTCCTGAGTTTCATTTTCCTTTTCAACGTCGTTTTCATTACTGAATGAATCAGTTCAAAACAATCAGTGTCTTAACTACACACTTTCCTCTTCATTGCAGAGAAGTGTCAAATACACCAAACTATGTAATCATTTACTGCGAGATATGTCAAAATTCCTCAACCTAAAATAACTGTTTAAAAACAGTTTTCAATATTCAGGCACCCTACATTGGAACTGCGTTCCTTTAAAAAAATAGACAAAAGGTGTTGATGTGCGATCCAGTATGATTGAAGATATATATCAGAAAAAATAAAACAATTGTTTTTTTTTAAATCTTTTAAAGCACTTGAAAAACAGTAAACATGCTATTGATCCAGATTTCTTCCCAGATGCTTTTGCATTATCTAATAGGCAGATGCCACAGATGCCAGTCAGGCATGTGATCTTAGGCCCACGTGTATCTCCCGTTTATACTTCACTCGAACTATTGTCCATTCACTTGTGCTCTCACATATCCGCTGGCCTAGTGGTTAGAACGTCCGTCTCAGATGCGGGAGGTCGTGGGTTCGATCCCTGGCAGAGTCATACCAAAGACTTACAAAAATGGTACTAATAGCTGTCTCGCTTGACGCTCAGCTTTAAGAGGTTAGTGTTAGGCCTGGTCGGCCTGTTGTCAGGATAATATGACTGGGTGGGACATCATGCCATATGTCTGCGGCATGATGCTCCAGTGCTAGACATCGCTATAAACTGTCACACTGCAGCCATCGTAGCGATATGACTAACAATTGTTGAAGCTACGTTAAAATTTAAATCACACACACACACACACGCACACACACACACACACACTCGCAGGCGCGCTTTTTGGAACTTCGTTTGATCGTTAGAGTGCAAATTTTCATAATGTAACAAGCTTGTAACTTCTTGGTCTTTTTATCATCAAAAGACACCCTAAAAAAATGAAGTGTATGCAGTTTCTATAGAGGGACAAAATTGACTGTTTTATTTCTGTATTTTGTTTGAAATTAGTGAGATACCTATATACTAGTACGGTGACAAATGCGTCATAATTTCACTTGCGGGATTAGGCTATCAGAGTGAGAAGTTCAATGCATATTTCATCAATTTGTCAATAAATAGGTACGTGTATAGCTGTAGTTCAATGTCTATTTGATAAAGAGAGGATATATATATATATATATATATATATATATATATATATATATATATATATATATATATATATATATATATATATATATCACCTTGTCCAAAAACAGTGGCATGAATAATTTACATCGTTTCATCTGTGTGAAATATTGCTCAATAGTTTGTTTGATTTCGTTTTTGTGGGGTGAGGAGAGGGTAATACTTCTTTTTGTTAAAGGCTATGGAGTTTATTATCTGAAATGCAAACCAAAACTTTAGCTTTTGGTTTGTTCACAGTATAAGCTAGTTGAAATGAGAAAGACCATTATCGATTTTGAATAAAACTGTTCCCGAACTCTATACCATTCTGCGCCTTTCTTTTTTTTTAAATCGCACATCAGAAAATATAAATAGTGGAATTTTAATCCAATAGGAAACGGATATAATTGTTGTCAAATTTCGAAGACCAAAATGCTGCAACTCAAACTAGAGGGTTCAAGACTTTAAGTTATTTTGATTCCTAAGGGTACAGTAAAAATACAATCAGACTTATGTATTCATTTTGGTAATTAAGTTTTACCTAGGTAATTTTATTTTTTGTTCCAATATTTTTATAGGCCAGCTACTTTGGCTTGCTGATTACTATTCTTTACAAACCCTGGACAAATCTGCATTATAGTCTTTTTTACAAAAGTAACAATTCGAAGTCTCATAGTTTTTGAAAATAAAGATAAAAATATTTAAAAAAGATTGATACCCATAAAGCAACGTAGAAACAGGCACTTTTGTCAAGGGCTGAATTGTAATTATTTGATGAAATAACAAAATGTCATTACATGCAATCCATACACGTTTTAAATCTCGAGTTAATGACAAAAACTAGGCAAATTTTCTTTCACTTTATCACCCATGAAATATATTTACATACCTCTATTATGCCATTACGTTATTGCATCGGTCTGTTGCCAATTTCATTTCAGCTTATTAACCTGAGGTGCCCTATCCTCTCTACTTTTATAAAACTTTGTGGATGGCTTGCGCTAGGTGGCAAGGAAGAACTCTGTCGATCTTGAGGTCAAAAGGTGAAATGCCCTAATCACCGTGGCTCAAAAAAAACTAGTCCGAGTTTCCTCTGACCCTTGACACCCCATTTTTGATATTTGGTTTTTTTATGTTGTGGTGTAGGGTCAGAGTCTATTCCTTATCAAAAACTTGGAATTTGCCGACACCATTTGGTGTCGGCATAGGGTACTCGCCAACTATAAGGCCTAGAAAACTTAAATGACCTTGCATTGACCCATAATTACATTAAATCGATAGGGAAATCATTTATCTTCTCAGAAATTACAAGCATAACACCGATTTTGTCTTTAATCCGTTGTCAGACGAGACGTAACTACAGCGTTGATGAATTTTGACCTCGTTCGCTTTATTTTAATTGCTAGTCACATGACTAACTAAATCTCGCAGCCGATGTGCATTAACGTGATAGGTCAAATAGTCACGTGATAACAACAAAAGTGCTTTGACATGTAGTTTCTGCGTGATCAGTCAGCCTCTTTCCAGGAAGATGCGACAGCGACATGTTTCGGGCTGCTGTTATCCCAATTAATATGTTGAACAATACGTGTTTTTTCTTGTTATTGTATACATTGCGTGACTTTCATTCAATAATATTTTCGAGTTTATGTCTTCTTTCTGCAATACTGGAATGGAAGGTTTTATGCATAAACCTATATTGCAAAATGGCAGGTAAAGACGAATACACGGAATCTCTTGCCAATGAGATACTTTAAGAAAAGGGATACTATTTTAATATTAAAGAATTACAATATGATGTAATAAAATCAGTTATCAATGAAGGTGACACATTTGCCGTCTTCCACAAGAGGTATGGGGAAAACGCGGTTTTTTGTTGTTATCACGTGACTATTTGACCTATGACGTTTATGCATATCGGCTGCGAGATTTGGTTAGTCATGTGACTAGCAATGACAATGGTGCGAACGAGGTCAAAATTCATCAATGCTGTAGTTACGTCTCGTCTGACAACGGATTAAAGACAAAATCGTGTTATGCTTGTAATTTCTGAGAAGATAAATGATTTCCCTATCGATTTAATGTAATTATGGGTCAATGTAAGGTCATTTAAGTTTGCTAGGCCTGATAGTTGGCGAGCACCCTATGCCGACACCAAATGGTGTCGGCAAATTCCAAGTTTTTGATAGGGAATAGACTCTGACCCTACACCACAACATAAAAAAAAACAGATATCAAGAATGGGGTGTCAAGGGTCAGAGGAAACTCGGACTAAAAAAAAAAACAAAGCAATAACAACAATATCTGCACAGTATCTAGCGTTCTCAACCATCAGTAATAACTATCCTACGTTGATGGATTGCATGTGGAGGTAAGAAAAAAACTCGTCAATTTCGGGGTTAAAAGGTTAATGTCACTCTGAATGAAAGAAGAAAAATGGTTTCCTTAAAATAACTTACCTTCTCCATCACATGCAGTTACAAAACTTGGTTTGAACTGGAGGAAGAACACTATTAACTTGCGGGTCAAACAGATGAAAGGTAACGGTCACTGTGACTGAAAGAAAAAAATGGTGTCCGTACAGGAACATGAGCTCTCCACCATTTAGAGTTTTTAGACTGTGTGGACTGCATTGTCTCGGTTTAGGAATAAAGTCTAAGGTCACTGACGGAGAGAAAAATGGTTTTTGCATAATAAAATTGTAGATTACTTATTTTGACCAATAATGCTTTCTGCTGAGTAACTTTAATTCGGCACTGTATATTTTGAGGTATGGTCGAATTCTTGAGGGCCATTTGTCAATGATCTCAGTCAACCATAGCTGATTGCTCTTAGTGTGTGCGCTATTTAAAGTCAACCAACATATAGAAACGACTACACTGAGGATTTATAAACATAAGGCGAGCGTATAAGGTTGTCTCTGATCAGCTCCTTACTGACTACTATGCCAGATTTCTGACTTGTTCCATAATGCTATATTCAATGCCAGAGTCAGCTTGATCAGACTGTTGTATTTTGATCAAATAAACATTCATACCTTTAAAGTCCTTTTAAAATTCTTAGTTATTCAATTTATGTTAAATCTTACAACCATACAGAGCTATACAGCCTGTAACACAAGACACGTCTGGGCTAAATTGTTTGAGAAAAGATTGACCGTTGCACTCCACCTTTAAATTACTTCTAGTTTAATTAGGATTTGCATTCTGCTTTTTTTCTTTCTACATTTGATTTCGAAATACCGCTGAAAAGGGATTGGCCTGCATGCCGTCTGTTTTTGTTGATCTAGACATTACATCATACTCATTTTAAATATCATTTCCGGTTTAAAATCACTCACTTGCATTTCATTTCCAGAAACACTTTCCCAGCTCCGCTAAGGTGATATGCTTCAAACCTGTATTAACTATGTTGTCATCGCTATCATAAGTCAGTATTTGCCGAACGAAATCGTCATCTGAACGTGAACCATATTGGGAGTCAGCCATTTGGGGTTTTCAAGTTAGTGCTTATTTTTAATCACCTTACCCAAACTAATTTTTAACTAATACAAATACCAACTATTATTTACATCTTTTCATCAAGATACATCATTTACATCTCCCGTTGATCGTGAACCAATATCTTTAACTGTTACCAACATTTACCATTTTATATTTATCTACTATGGATTTTTTACTATATCGCTGGTCGATATTGAACCTTTTTACAAATATGACCTACTGTATGGCGCTAAATAGCCTAAAAGTGCTGGTGCGCCGTTAAAATTCAATCAATCAATCAATCAATCACGCTTTTGTAATACTTCTTTAAAGAATGCTAGGTTCCAACTACGGCAGCCTGATTGCTCCGGACCTCATGTACCAATATAATTTAGTCTAACAGCCATTTACACCAAGTCGAAGTACCTAGATATGTAAAGAGTTACATGCCTGAAAAAAAGACATCGCTACGAGACCTCTGATGTTATGCGACTTATATCAGGATAAGCGCTTTAAGGTTTAACAGTTAAGTAAAAATTATTATTACATTTGCGGAAGTTCTCTGACTTTATTGTGAGACAATGTTTGACGACTGTAGCTCAAAATATTCATCTTTGGTAAAGAAGAAGCATACCTAATCATAACACAGATGAGTATACTTGCTACAGGTAAGGAAACTCAGAAGAGTGTGTTCGAACTGCTGAAACGGCACCAAATATACATAAGAATGTGCTGACGAGGAATGACTGTAAGTTGCAGTTGATGACGTTGATTTGGCACCAAGCTCTCTAACCAAGGAAAGACACTCTTGTCTGGCTTCCTCCTTGGCAACCAGACTAACTTTAGTACTATTTGTTACCTAAAAAAAAGAACAAAGATGTGGTGAATGTCCCCTTTACCTCATACGTGTTG